CAGGCTCTAGGTGAAAAGGAAGCTCAGATAGAGAAGAGAGTACCAAATGAAGAGTTTTTTCTTTTATTACTTTAACTATGTCCACCTTTTGCCTGTAACACATTGCTCTGGTTACTGTAGCATGTTTTGAAATGAAAACAGTCTGAGATTTCTTCATTTGTTGTGTTTTGTTTTCAACCTCGTTTTAACCTTGGTTTGTTTCCAACTTTGTTCAGAATTCCTTAAGATTCCTTATTATTTTAAGATATATTTTTGAATTTTTATGCAAAAAAGCCAATTATTTTGATAGGAATGACATTGTCGTCAGTTCACTTTATGTATGACTACATATTCATGCCTTTCGTGAATATGATACTAGTGAATCACAGAAACATGGATTTTTATTGGATGGATCAAGATTCATCTATTTTGTTGTTTAGCTTGTCCAGTGTATCAGGTGTCGGTTCTGAGCACCATCTGGTGTGCAACCCCCAAAATAAATGTTGTTTTTCGATGTATATGCATGCTTTAAAAATAAAACAATATATATGTGTATATTTTATTCTTAAGTTTTTAGTTTTTTAGACTAGATCGGGCCTGTTCAGAGTGATATGACCATAGACTTTGGTTTTTTAAATGACATTTTTGTACAGTTTTGTTGGAATCGACATATACACTCATTTAAACATACAATCGAATGAGTTTTTACAATATCCAAGTTATACAACTATATCTGCCCATCAGGTTTGTCAAAGTTGTAAGCTGTGTTATCAACTTGATAATATTTGATGTATTGTAAATAATTCTTTTAATGTAAATAATTTTTATAATTCTTGCAATTTATATAATTCTTATAATTTAAATTTCAAGAACATTATAAATAATTCCTTTAAGATTGGTTGTCACCTAACACCTCATCCTCCTAGCCTCAAATAGACATATATTGTCTTTTTGTTTCTATAGATTTTTCTGCACTGTTGATATAAATGAAATTGTGTATCATGTAGTTTGTGACTAGAATGTATAATGTAACACATAGGATTTATTTTTAAAACTGAGTAATATACTATGTGAATATACATAATACTGTACATCAGTTGGTGGACATTACAGTTTTTCCACTGCTATGAATTTGCCTACTGTGAGTACCCATGTATGTTTTTGGTTAGACATAGTTTTCTTTCAGGTATAATCATGGGATTCTAGTTGCTGCATCAAGTAGTAACTCTGTATTTAACTTTTTGAGGAATTGCTACTTTTCCAAAGTGACTCCATTACTTTGTATTCCTATTAGCCCTACCATGCTGCAGTTTCTACCCATTCTCACCAGCATTAAGTATCTGTCTGTTCTGTTGTATCTATCCTAGTTTGAGTGAAATGGTATCTCATAATGTTTTGATTTTCATTTTTCTGTTAACTAATAGAGTATCTTTTTATGTACTTATTGGTTATGTACAGTATTTTCTGAAAAATATGTATTCAAGTTCTCTACCCATTTTAAAACCAAATTGCCTGTTTATTTTTGAGATTTGAGTTATTTATGCTAAATATAAGATCTCCTTATCTGATAGATGATTTCAAATAGTTTTCTCCCATTCTGTGAACTCTCACTTTCTTGATGTAATCTTTAGGAGCCAAAAAGTTTAAAAATTTTTATTCTGATGATATCTAATGATCATTTTTTTTCCTCTTTGTGATATTGGTGTTATTGAGAGAATCAGTTTTCAAATTGCCTGTTTGAAAGTTCTTGAATCCATGAATCCGAAGTGTTTTTTTTCAGTTTTGTACTTTTAACTCTTACATTCAGGTTTTGATTCATTTTAAATTTCACTTTTGGCTTGTAGTAAGAGTCCAACTTAATTTTAAGTGACTGTGTCGTTCTCTCAGCGTCCTTGCTGGAAGAGCCAATTCATTCCCATTGGATGGTCTTGGAATTTTTGTCAAATATTAGTTAGCCATGAATATTCTGAGTTTATGTCTGATTTCAGTTCTGTGGATTTCTGTGTCTGTTTGTATGCTGGCAGCATACTTGCATTCTAGGAAGCTTTGAACTGAGAAGTGTGAGTCCTCTTATTTTGCTTCTCTCTTTCCAAAATTGACATTGGGTACCTTGCAAGTCTATGTAAATTTTGGGATCAACTTGTCTACTTCCATAGAGCCAGTTGGAATAGAAATTGCATCGAATCTGTGGTTAAGTTTGGAGAGTATTGTCTTCTCAACTCTGTTGTCTTCAGGTCCCGTAGTCACAAAATGCTTTTTCATTCATTTAGATCTTTAAAATTTCTTTCTTATATTTTTCCAGAGGGTTCCCCCCCCCCCAACCCAATTGAATTACTATGAGATATGCAGTTACAAAGCTGTTTGTGATCAGGTTTCAGTTATACAGTATTACAACACCCAACCCCCCACCAGTGTATATTTCCCATTACCAATGTCACTAGTTTCCTTCCTGACACCCCTGACACCCCCCATCCTCACCCCCAACCTTTCTCTATGGCCACCCCCAACCTTTCTCTATGGCAGGCACTTTCCTTCTCTCTCTCTCTCTCTCTCTCTCTCTCTCTCTCTCTGTCCTTTTGGGCCTTATGATTTGCAATGCAGCTACTGAGAGGTTATCATGTTTGTTCCTTTACCTACTTTCAGCATGCAGTTCTTATCCAGAGTGATCATTTCCACCTACCATTGTCATAGTGGTCCCTCCTCTATCACAACTGCCTTCTCCCCCAGCACTTGAGGCAGGCTTCTAACTGTGGACCAATCCTCCTGGTCCTTGTTTCTATTGTTCTTGGGGATTAGTCTCATATTTTTAAAAATATGAGTATAGTCATTTTATGTCTGTCACTTCTGACTCATTTCACTCAGCATGATACTCTCCATGTTCATCCATTTATAAGTAAATTTCATAACTTTTTTTTTTCCCCAACAGCTGCATAGTATTCCATTGTGTGGATGTAGTTTCTTTAACCAGTCGTCTGTTCTTGGGCACTCGGGTTATTTCCAGATTCTGGCTATTGTGAATAGTGCTGCAGTGAACATAGAAATGCAGATGGAATTTCTACTGTATCTTTTTGTGCCCCCAGTATGTATTGCCAGAAGTGGCATTGCTGGGTCATATGGAAACTCACTTTCTAGCTTTTTGAGGAATGCCCACATAAACTTTCTTCCAGAAATGTTTTGTAGCTTTAAGAGTGAAAGTGTGACAGGGCTGGAGGGAGCTCAGTGAGCTGAGCCCGTGCAAAGTCCCTGCAGGCAGCTTCGGGCTCAGTGCCTGGCACCCTGAGCACTGTGGGTTGTGGCCTCGAAGCAACCAGACACAAAAGATTGTTTTGTAACTTAATTTCATGTTTTGTAACTTAATTTCATGTTCGTATGTAAGTATACAGAAATAGAATAATCCTTTTGTAATTGATCTTGTGTTCTGCCATGTTGAACCCATTTAATGGCATTAATTTTTAAATAATTACATATCGTTAAGATATATATTTACATATAACTAAGTTCATGCCATCTGTGAATAGGACTGTTTTACTTACTCCTTTCTAGTTGAGTGCAGGTATTCACTTGTATGCCTATTTGCTCTGGTTAAGAATGCCAGTCTCTAAGGACCAAACATGATGGCTCTCAGTGTCTATATTGCAGGCCTTAATGCCCCACAGTAGGGAGAGAGTAAGAAGGAAGGTACTTGCCACAGAGGCAGGGGACGGGATGGGGTGCGGGTGGCGGGAGGGATACTGGGGACATTGGTGGTGAAAATGTGTACTGGTGGAGGGATGGGTGCTCAAAGTCATTGTATGACTGAAACTCAATCATGAAAGCTTTGTAACTGTATCACACGGTGATTCAATAAAAAAAAAAAAAAAGAATGCCCATCTCAGTTTAAATGGAAGTGACTAAAGGAAGGATCTTTATTTTTTTTCCTGATCTATGGGAAATATCCAGCCTCTACTCATAACTATGTCAGCTGTGTGGTTTTTTAGGTGTTCTTAATGAATTTGAAGAAATGATTTTTTATTTTTGTGTTGTTGAAGTACTAATAATTTATCCGTTTATGTATCATTTCAGTCCTATGTGCTCTAAATGTGTAATTTATAAGTTCTGTGATGTGTTATAGCATAGCCATGAGAAATGGTAATAAAAATGTGTTCTATAGGATACAAAGATTTTTTTATTTTGTGAGCCAGTCATTAATGAAAGCAGTGAATGACTGAGAATAGCTCAAAAGAGTATACATATAGATGGAAAAATTCACATATATTAACTAGGAACTTGTAGGTAAAATATAAAAACTAGGGACTCCAGTAGTATAATTAAAAACGTGGTCAATTGACTATGTCTTTTAAAAATTAAATAATTAAAATAATTATTTGGAAACATGAATGTTTGTACCTTGTTTGTTTTTTTTGTGTGGGGGGGGTTGCACCTGGTTGTTCTCAGGGATTACTCTTAGCTCTGCAGTTAGGAATCACTGTTGGCAGAGCTCCAGGGGACCATATAGGATGTTGGGGATTGAACCCCAGTCAGCCACATGAAAGGCAGTTAGTTGCCTTACTCACTGTAAAATCTCTCTGGCCTCTGCTCCTTCGGTGAGCAAAAGTTTAATAATGATCATCAATTCTCGTTAATTCATTGGTTTCCACTTTATTTTACAAACGAGAACCTCGTCCTCCGCGTGCTGTTACTCAGTTTTAACATTTTTATTTAGCAAATGTATGTTGTTAAGAAATAACTGCACTGTAGCCCTGTCCCCCCATTGTTCATCGATTTGCTGGAGCGGGCACCAGTAATGTCTCCATGGTGAGACTTGTTGTTACTGTGTTTAGCATATCGAATACGCTATGGGGAGCTTGCCATGCTCTGCCATGTGAGCGGGATCCTCTCAGTAGCTTGCCAGGCTCTCCGAGAGGGACAGAGGAATCGAACCCGGGTTGGCTGCGTGCAAGGCAAATGCCTTACCTGCTGTGCTATCGCTCCAAACCGAGGAATAACTATTTTATCTATTAACATGTGCCTTTCATTTATAGGAGGACATCTTTATGTATGGAGGCAGAATTGAAACGAATGATGGCAATGTTACAGATGAACTGTGGATTTTTAACATACACCGTCAGTCTTGGAGTACAAAGACACCTACTGTCCTTGGACATGGCCAGCAGTATGCGGTGGAGGGACATTCAGCACATATTATGGAACTGGACAGTAGAGACGTGGTCATGATAATCATATTTGGATATTCTTCAATTTATGGTTATACAAGCAGCATACAGGAGTATCATATCTGTGAGTGACTTTGAAATTGTAACTGTCTCCTTTTTTCCTTTATTGGCTGGGAATATTTTTAAATTTGATAAAATACTCACGATTTTATTCAAAATGGTGAGTTACTTGAACCAAAAATTATAAGAATGATTCAAAATTGTTTTGGTTTTTTATCAGCTTTTATTCTTCAGTATTTACGTTGAATTATTTTGGTCTACAGAGAGGATATGTTATATAGACTACCCACATTTTCTAGACACTAAGGTTATTTTAAAATAAGAGAATGTCCAATAGATGGTGCTATTTCTTTGGATTTTTCTTATGAACCATGAACTGAAACCCGCTTCCTCTCTGTTTTATGCTTTCCATGACTTCAGGATTTTTCACTTTCTTGGGTTCTGTTCCCAATCTCACTATAATATCTCTATGTATATTTCACTGTGTTAAAGTAGCTTCCAGAGAATCATCTTTTAGCTTCTATTATAGATTTTTCTCTGGTGTGCAGAGGTGACTAGGGCAATCTATATGACTGTGCTATATTCTTAAGAACTTGCTTGTTTTTATGGTAGTTTAAGAATTTTAATTTGTATGACATTTTAAAGCAGTTGCAGGCTCTGTTTCAAAATTTTTCCACAAACATATGCCCTATGGTTGTTCCTTAGATTTGCTAATATACTCTAGTATCTGCTTCTCCAGTATTTGGGGCCCAAGTGTTTTGCCCCTTTAAAAACATATATATGTGTATATATATAATAAGGCCCTCCTGTTGATCGTCGATTTGCTCGAGCGGGCCCAGTAACGTCTCCATTGGAGACTTTGTTGTTACTGTGTCTGGCATATCGAATACTCTCGGTAGCTTGCCGGGCTCTCCGAGAGGGGCAGAGGAATCGGACTCGGGTTGGCCATGTTGGCCGCTTGTAAGGCGAACGCCCTACCCGCTGTGCTATCGCTCCCCAGTAGCTCGCCGTGATCGTATAGTGGTTAGTACTCTGCGAGATACAGTCACAAAATTGTTCATCATGAGCTTCAATCATACAATGTTCCAATACTCATTCCTTTACCCGTCTACGTTTCCCACCACCAATGTCCCCAGTCTCCTCCACTTCCCCTGCCTCAGTGGCAGGCACTTTTCTTCTCTCTCTCTTGCTCTGTTTCTCTCTCTCTCTCTCTCTCTCTCTCTCTCTTTCTCTCTCCTTTTGGGCATTATGGTTTGCAGTACAGGTACTGAAAGATTATCATGTTTGGTCCTTTACCAGCTTCTACCACTCAGTTCTTGAATGCTGATTTCCAACTATCATTGTCATGTGGTCCCATCTCTATCCTAACTGCTCTGCCCCACTACACACACACACACACACACACACACAACACACACACACATACTTGTGCAAGCTTCCCACCATGGATCAGTTCTCTTTGAACTTGTTTCTACTGTCCTTGGGTATTATTCTCATACTATGATTTTTTTTTTATATCCCACAGATGATTGCAATCATTCTATGTCTGTCCATCTCCTAACTCATTTCACTCATATTTTGCACTTTTGTGTATAGACAGCTATATGAAGTTATTTAGAGTCTTCAGGAGAAAATTCACTTGCTGACTACAATTTGTAGCAAGGAAGGTATGCTTATGAGCTCTGAGGAAGACTCCCGTCTCAGTGCTCTGTGGTCTCCATCACAGGTGATCTGTTTTCTGTATCCCCAGCATGGTGGTGCTGACCGTGTGATGCATTCTTCCTCTATGCTTGTTGCTGTTTCCTCTATATTCTTGGTCTGTCCCTCTCTTCTTTGAATCCTTCTCTTCTTTGAATCCAGCTCTGATCCTTGGGTCATTAGACTCTACCACTACTGCTTCTCTTAGTACTTCTCTGTTGTTCCTCAGATCCCTCTTGTACCCTGTACAGCTCATGGTTTTCAGTAGCCAAACTTGACAGTTGTTCAGTCTCATTAGAGCCTGGACACTGTTTCCCTCTCTTACTTTCTCATTCACTATATAAATTTCTCATTTATATAGTTTTATGTTTTTAATCTCTCTTCCCTCTTCCAACTCTCCAACATGATTGTTCCATACATTCTCTTTCTTCAAACTCAGAACACTTCCTTTTTCAGCATTACTCCCAGTTAATAAGCTTACACACGTTCAGAGAACTTATGCTGATAGGAACATTTGGAGTACAGTAGTTAATAAATTTTGGCCTGTTGAATAAGTTTTATCTCCTTTATGCTTCCACCCCACTGAATATAGTTTACTTATAATCATTTTCTTGATTTAAGGATATTTTCTTTCATCCCTGAGGCCTGCTGGTAGTTATACTTTATAGGGATGGGTAGGAAGGCATAGCAGAATTTTTGAATTTTCTATGAATGGTAAACATTGATACAGATTACTGATAAATGCATTGGTTGGCAGGTTTTTGTTTTCATTGGGAATAACTGATGACAGAATATCAATGGAAGTTTTGGTAACTTTAAAGTATTTACAAAGCATTAAGTTTTTAAGAAGAATATATTTTGTTGAACTAAGGAATATATGCAAACACTGGGTTGATTTTGGAGCTATAGGAACTCATGTTTTTTTTTTAATATTTTTTATTTTTTAATGAATCATCGTGAGATACAGCTACAGACTTACAAACAGGATCACATCTTTCACAGTTGCTTCAATTCCTATGCACTGAATGCATGCATATCAGTGAAGGAGGTTGCCTAACTTGCAGAACAGTGAGTGAGGCTCCAGCCATTCTTCCTTACTCTTAGAGAAGTTCTAGCAGGTTAGCAGACAATAAGCAGTGAATGTAATTGATATGTATACTATATAGTATATTAGGGGCTGGAGCGATAGCACAGCGTAGGGTGTTTGCCTTGCACACAGCCAGCCCGGCTGAGCCGGGTTCGATTCCTCCGCCCCTCTCCAAGAGCCCGGCAAGCTACCGAGAGTATCTCGCCCACACTGCAAAGCCTGGCAAGCCACCCATGATGTATTGAGTATGTCAAACAAAGTAACGACAAGTTTCAAAATAGAGACGTTCGTTACTGGGCCCACTGGAGCAAATAGATAACAACGGGAGGACAGTGCTATAGTATATTAGAAGATAGCTTTATTTGCTTTCATTAAAATTTTGTATAAAAATATACTGAGTCAATTAAGTTTGGATGTAATGAAAATTAATGACAACCTCGAAGATTGCTTAAAAAGCCGTTTCAGAAATCCTTTTTCCTCTGGCAGAGTTTTGGTAAGAGAAACTAGATACCTGGTTCAGTCTGGAAGTGCTTACATGTTTCTGATGACGTTCCCGAAGTTTATGGATTTAACTGTTTTCCTAGGTGAAATCCAGGATTAACATTTATGTTATTTAATTTTCTAAATTGAAAATTAGTAAGAATATTTTTATACTGTAATTCCTTAATTTATATATTCAATTGCATTATAATTTGTGTTAACATAAATTATAATGTTATAACTTAACATTATATAACTGTATCATAATATTACATTATAATTCTAAGTAAATGTCAAGGAACATCATTGAAAATCAACATGTGAGGGAGGTGGAGACCCTGGTGGAGGGTGTGGTGCTGGAATTTTCATGTATGAATTTATGCCAGTAACAGTTTCATAAACCACATTGTCTAAAATAAAATTAAAAAAGAAATTCAATGTGTATATAGTACCTTCAGGTCACCTTAAAAGTCAAATTACACCTTTCACGATTTATTTTTTCCCTTTGTCCCTGTCTGTCTTCTCCTCTTTTTATAGATCAAACATTTTTATTTTATTTTATTTATTTATTTATTTATTTAATTTTTATTAGTGAAACACCATGAGGTACAGTTATAGACTTACAAATTTTTTGTGCTTGGGTTTCAGTCATACAATGATTGAGTACCCATCCCTCCAAGATTCCAAGGTTTTTGGTCTGACAAACTACAAAGACAAAGTTGCTACCATCTGAGATTCAGAAGCAGTTTTGAGGGGAGTGGGGTTTGAGAGTCAGGACTTCATTTTAGACATCCAAGGTACGAGATGTCCATTATATTTTAAAGTGAAAATTTAAAGTAGGCAGCTGGGATTGTAGAGACAGCTGGTTTGGAAGTGCAATTTTGGGAATCCTTTGGAAAATCGCATTTAAAGTTCTAAGTCTAGAGCAGATCACTAAGGAAATACATATAGACAAAAAGAAGAAAAGAATTGGTCGCAGATGTTCTACTGGTCAGAGGACAGAGAGAAGGAAAAGGAGAGCACAGTGAGCTAGACGATGAGTGGGGAGAGATTGTTACGCAGGACAGTAACCAGCTGTCAAATGCTGCTCTGTAGAGAGGTCAAGTGGAATGATTGAGGATTAACCCTAGAATTGATACTGAGCAGACCATTGGTCTTATTAGCAGGTAGGGTCGGGTTGTGTAGTGGTGTGACTAAAACCACGGTGGTATTTAAGAGGTAGTAGTAGGAGTGGTATTTGAAATGATGGAAAGAGTCAACTCTTGCATGGAAATATGCTTGTAAAGATGAATAAAGGAGTTAGCAGCATATGTTGACTGGATCTGTATAGATTCATTAAAATTGAATTTTCATAAAAGCAGAGCATGAAGTAGGGATTCAAGTGAAAGGATTTTATTTGAGAGTAAAATAATAAAACACAATTAGGGGGCTGAAGAGGTCTTAAAGGCATGAGAAGACACCCAAAGGTCCATTAAGAGACCCAAGTACCATAGGGTGATGGTACTTCAATCCCAAGTTTTCAGATCAACACCACCTTCTTTAATGGTTAAACTTCTAAGTCGTTGATGAGTCCGTTGGACAATGTCTGAAAAAAAATCACCCACAGATTTTTTTTCACTCACATGAATCAATGTGTCTTGATTTATATTGAAAATGTATTTAGGTGTTTAAAAGCAAAATAGTTAACAACCCTGTGTGGTACACATACAAATATTTTGGTAGGGAAATTTCTTTGTAATATTTCCTGTTGTACAACTTCTAAATCTTACATTTGGCTATCAAGTGCTTTCTCTTAATGT